TTAACTTAGAATACGTGATAAAACTTGACTGCCTCATTGGCCGAGTGGTCGCAAGTGCGACTGCCGGGCAAGGGGCCTCGGGTTCGATTCCCGGGTCCGGCAAAGTATTACGGGATTTAAAAAAATCTCAGTAGCAGCACGGAGTCTGGCATTGTGCCCGGTATATGGCAATAGGCTCACCCCCTAGTATATGGGACTAATAACATACATAGTGAATAGTGGATAACGTACACCTAATGTACTGCCTACTCCTTCTCCTTTCCTTCTGCCTACTCCTTTGGGGATAAAAGGCGTGATGTTATTATGTACGTAATAAAACTTTTAAGACTGATTTTAAGATTATCGGTTGTTATCACCTTAAAAACGATAAGTAAGACTAGCCTATTGTCAATATCAGGGCTGTTCAAACAACATACCCTCGCGGGCTAATTGCATTTCAAAATTTAAAAATTCCTTACAAAAGCTGAAGGGAAAGAAACATATTTTTATTTGTATAATGACGTTTTTTTAAGGGGGGGGGGGATCCAATGACTTCTTCCGCCCGGGTGAGGCGGGAGGGAGTGGCAGACTCTTACTGAGTAAAAACCACCCCGTCCCTACTCCTGCACTTCGAACCGGAGCCCCGGTAACCCGTTAAGGTATAATGACGTTTAATATTGTATTCTTAACTCACATATAAGACTTGCATATACATCATAGGTACACTGAACTTTATTATTGTGGTTGCACATCAGATGAAGATGTTGAGATTGAATTGTGTGTTACGAGCCACATTAAAACAAACGGCGGACCGCCTGCGACCCTATTAATACCCTGAATGTTTCAGCTTCTTATGATGTTATCGTAGCAAAATGCATATGTTACCTCTTTTTTTATAATAATAACGTTGCCCCACATTAGAATTTTCTCCTTGTCGTGGGTGCGCAGTCTTTGATAACAAACAGGCGTTTAATTTTACAGTATTTTATATATAAAACTTAAAAAAATACTATCTAAAACTGATATTAACATAACATCACGCCTTTTATACTCTAAGGGGTAGGCAGAGGTGCACATTATACCACTGTACAATGTAACACCCACTTTTCACTATTTATGTTATGAGTCTCACGTAATAAGGGGTGAGTCTATTGCCATATACCGGGCACAAATCCAGACTCCGTGCTATTACTGAGATTTTTTTTAAAACCCAGTAAAACTTTGCCCTACCCGGGAATCGAACCCGAAACCCCTTGCTCGGCAGTCGCAATTGCGACTACTCGGCCAACGAGGCACCGATATTATATTGATGATATATCAATATAATATGCATATTTTTACTATAGGTACTGATTATATTTATTATTAAATGCAAAAATTCTAATTACATGTATAGAAATAAAAATACCAATTAATTTACATTAGGTACATTACCTAAATACCAAACAACATTATTAATTACTTTAATTGAATTCGAAGTAAAACTTGAACTGAATTAACCTTTAGGCGCATGATCTTAAAAATCGATACATTTCGTAAAAACCAATTACTGCATACAAGTTCACTTGTGGAATATTAAATACGATTATAAATCGATAAATACGTTTATTATTTAGTCGATAATATTTGGCAAAACTTAATTAATCACGATTCGGTTCACTATCACTGCGATCATCGGAAGCCGATCTATATTGTAAGGTCATGTTAGTGTAGGGTGACCGAGCGATTCGATAGTGTTTAAGGACATGACACTCAGGTTAAGTTAGGAAAAGAAAACTATTGAAACTATCGTTTTTTTTTTCTCCTCTTATAATATTATCTTCTGATTCACTTCGTTGCGGGAACCAAGACAGTTAGTCATGTCCCTGGGACGCGCCGGACTTCAGTGTTCCGGTGTTTTCATGGTTGTATCTACTGTAGATCCTGGCTTACAGGTGTTGCAGCGGTTTTGGGAGGTTGTGGCATGCTTGTCTCATATATATAAATAAAAAAAGAAGACTAGTTTAATCAGTGTGTATGATAGTGGGATTTTTTTTGTGTTATATTGTGTTTATTTTTATTTATATTTGAACCACTATGATCACTCAGATTTTATTAATAATTAAAGGATCCCCAAATGTTCAGTGCATCTAAACTTCCTAGTAAGCCAAACAAAAAAATAATTAGCAAAATCGGTTCTGCTAATTCATTCAGCTGTTTTCGAGATTCGCGCTTAGCACAGCTACACATTCAGCGATTCATTTTTATATTATAAAAGATAACGGTCTTGTGACCGTCACGTGCCACTATTATTAGTGACAGTGCAAATGCACTTACAAAAATTCATCGTATCTGACAAATGTGTCCAATTTGTAAATGTCGCCCTTGATACACGTAACACCAGATCTAATAATAATATCACATATTACACTTTCCATTCTATTCGAGTTGATATACTGGCTTTTGACATAATATACATTTACAATAGTAACAATACACCATAGGTTACAAGACAAAGATATCAAGTTATAAAAAAACAAAACCTAAGACCAAAAAAACTGGGCTATATTTGTTACCCAACAATGTGGCGTATCTTTTTTTTAATAAGGCTATTGAAATACTCATTGACTTCCCTCCACGGTGCTGGACTTTTAGACTCTTACCGGCTGAAACCACCGCGGTGTTCCTCCTCTGCCTATGACCGTGTTCCGGGACGCCCTTACGGATTCATCGCATCCAGCAGGCCTTAACCTCACCACGTAGCAGCCCTTGGAGGCAGCGATATCCTTCCTCGAGTAGCGTGCGTGGAAACAATGTACGTACTACATCTTGACATTTTTTCTTAAAACTAATAAACTTCCAGACCTTCCTTCCTTCATAACATAACATCACATCTTTTATCCCCGAAGGGGTAGGCAGAGGTGCATATTATGCCACTGTACAATGTAACACCCACTTTTCACTATTTATGTTATGAGTCCCATGTAATAGGGGGTAAGCCTATTGCCACATACCAGGCACAACTCCAGACTCCGAGCTACTACTGAGAATTTTTATAAACCCAGTAATACTTTGCCCGACCCGGAAATCGAACCCGAGACCCCTTGCCGGGCAGTCGCACTTGCGACCACTCGGCCAACGAGGCAGGCCTTCAATAAAATATTATTTAAACAGATTTATACAAAAACATTAAAACAAAATTTTATTTATAAACCCTACAATTATTTGACAATTACCATTATTCACTATTGTTATATAATTACCCCGTAATTTGTTTAAAAGATATATCACATTTCAATTATGTAACAAAATTATTGTGTTTTATGATGTATTTGAACTTGATTTATAAAATAATAAATAACTTTGTCCTCCAAATTAAATAAAATAATTGTTGTGTTTGCTTGAATTATCATTCTCACATCACAAAATTATACCTATATACCCACGTTTATATAATTTTATGGACTATAAAATCTTCAATATAATTTATTCAGTTGTTGAGTATTGATTTATCGTTATTAATATGAATTATTCAAATTAAAAATGTAGGTATATGACGAATTGTTCTTGTAAATGAACTCTATGGTAGATGGTTAAATAAAATGCCTTGATACTATAATTGTTACTTTAAGAATTATTATACAATTACCTTCTGGAATCGAATTAAGTATATTTTATTTTATTATTTTTACAATCTAGGGGTTTCAGGTTCGATTCGCAGGTCGGGCAAAATATTACTGGTTTTTTTTAAAAAATCTCAGTAGTAGCATGTAGTCTGGAATTGTGCCCGGTATATGGCAATACACTCACCACCTATTACATGGGCCTCATAACATAAATAGTGAGAAGTTGGTGTTACATTGTACAGTAGCATTAAGTGCCGTAATGTGCCTCTGTCTACCACTTCAGCGATAAAATGCGTGATGGTACGTTTTATGTATTTTTTTAATCATAATGTAACGCCTCAAAATTAACGTTACATGTTCTCAAAGTTTCGATATTAACTCTTTTGATTAATTATTTTTATCGAAAAATAAATAATTTGTGATGTTAAAATTATTTTTTTTCTCAAAATGTTAGGTACATTTTCACGCTGCCGTAAAACTACTTATATTACAAAAAATCTATCAAGATATAAATTACAAATTGTAGAAAAAAAAAAATTATAAAACAAAATATCATAGACACCCTACAAGAGAAGCTCTCATTGGAATTCATATACGGGCAAGGTCGAGTATTGATGCGCGATCGAGACTAAGTGTCCGTCCGTACGTATGTATGTACGGTAATACGGCCATTCAAATAGGATTTGTATGTCAAGCTCACTATGTAAGAGGTAACCAATATTGAGCTTTTGATTTTGAACACAATAGATGAAATTAGTTTTTTTTTTTACTTAGCGCCTAGCTAAGGAGAATGATCACAACCCAGTATTTTGTCTCTTAGCTGAGTTCTAATATATTCTAAGCTTTATTACTGTAAAAAATTTCACGGTGTTTGGTACTCAGAAGGAACACTATTTAGACTACTCAGATGCGGAATCTTTCCCATGCTATGCGTGTTAATGATTACCACTTTCTAATCTTTCTCCTCAAACCCCAGAGGTTTTTTATTGCAAAATTAAACTAAGTTTTAGTAAACGTAAAAACTTCTCTTGAGCATGCGACTTGAAATTAAGTTTTAACAAAAGATTTCTTACATTTGAAGCTATTTAACAATATTAAAAAGTTAACCTTAAATAACAATGGATTAGTAAAACCATTATATAATTTATACAACAATGTAAAAGAAGTAAAATAAAGATAAAAAAGCAAAATAGATCAGCAATACAAAGTACACTAAGCAAGCTCTATTAACTACAATAACATTAACTGATGCGCAAGATCAACCACATAAACCCATCCTCAACAATTAGACAAGTCCATCCATGAGCGTATCATAATATTGTTATTATGAAATATCGACCACGACTTAACGATGAAGTAGATCGACCCACACCCACCTATATATACTGCACTGATACTGAGAGGTTATCAGTTACAAACACAGCTTCTGAGTAGCAAGTTCATTCATTAAAACAATACAAAAAAAAAACGAATATGAAATTGGTAAGGGTTTCAAAGCTACTGGGATTAATTTTGGAAATAATGTTTAATAATTGAATCAATAAATTTTAATACATTTTGAGTCATTTAAATAACAAAGATTTAAATTAATAACAAACACTCTGAAATATCAGTTACTGTTTTCATCGATTTTAAAAAAGTTACAATTATTATTTTTTTAAATAATTATTAATTAATTAAATTTTTAAAAAGATCTTCGAAAGAATCGATTAAATATTAGAATATCTCATAATAAAGTTTTCTATTTTCAGTTCATCGTTTTAGCAGCAGTGGCGTTAGCCCAAGGCGCCAAACTAGACAGAACCTACCTCCCACCTAACGCTCAGGCTTCCGCAGGATCTGCTTTCCTCGAGGCTCCTCGTCAGTCCAACGGATTCCAGGATCAATCTGGTGCTTTCTCCAACAATGGATTTGCCAACTCTAATGCCCAAAACGGAGCTTACTCAGGTTTCGAAGCCCGTCCCGTAGAGCGCGCTCAGGCTGCCTTCGAGAGGAATGCTGCTATCCTTCGTCAGGACAACTCCAATGATGGAGAGACTTACGCGTATGCTTATGAAACTGAGAACGGTATCTCCGGCGAGGAGAACGGAGTGGCGACTAACGGAGTGCAGGCTCAGGGCAGCTACTCCTACACTGGGGATGATGGCAAGGTTTACTCTGTGAGGTGAGACAATCTTATCGAAAAAGTGATTTGTGATGATTAATCAGTGAGTGAGTTATGTGTAAAGGGCGCAGCAAAAGCTTATACAGAACAATGCAAATTCTTAGTGTCAGAAATAAACTTGCTTTAAACCTTCATAGGTACACCGCTGATGAGAACGGTTTCCAACCCCAAGGTGACCATCTCCCCACTCCTCCTCCAGTCCCCGCTGAAATCCTGAAGGCTTTGGAACAAAACGCTCGTGATGAGGCTGCTGGCATCTACGATGACGGTGAGATAAATTTACAAATGATTTGATCAAGTCAACTATTTTAGGCAAAAGACATAATTTATTGTACTATTTTCTTTATTTATCAGGCTCTTACAGCGATGCTAAATATGCTGACGACAGCCAACAGCAGTATTACGACAGCAACGCCCAAGCTATCAACTACAACAACGCGCCATCCAACAATTACAACGCTCAGTCCAACAACTACAACGCTCAGTCCAATAACTACAATGCCCAGTCCAACAATTACAATGCCCAGTCCAACAACTACAATGGCCAGTCCAACTACAACTCCGCTCAATCCAACTACAACTCCGCCCAGTCCAACTACAATGCTCAATCTAACTACAACTCCGCTCAAGCCAACTACAACAACGCTGACGCTGTCATCACCACCAGTGCTTTGATCCGCAACGACGCTTCTGGCAGCAGCAGCAACGTCGCTGGTACCCAGAAGGCTTACCTTCCTCCCTTCGCTCAGGCCAACACTGACGCCATTGTTACCAACAATGCTCTCCTTCGAAGCGATGCCGCTGAAAGCAGTAGCTCCGTTTCTGGAATCCAGAAGGCGTATCTCCCACCCTTCGGCCAACGCCAGAGGAATGGTGCGAGGCCATCCTTCAACGCTAGAGATGGCTACCGTTATTAGAGGCTATTGATAAGAATAATTATTGATTAATATAAACGACTTATTAAATAATGTATTTATAACAATGAATTTTGATTTTTATTTGAAGGATGATGATATTTTTGAATATCTTGGTTTCCTACTTTTTGAGCTGTAAAACACATTTCAAAAACGTTTACAGTTCGGTTATATTAAAGCGTGTAATTGCATTACGATTTCTTGTACCCTTCATTTTTTTATATTGGATGGACCGACGTTTGACCACTATCTCGCCTGGTGGTAAGCGATGATGCGGTCTACGAAGGAGCACGTCGTCCTATAAGCAACATATTCACTCGGACCTTGAAGACATCCAGGAAGGAAGAACCCTTTAGGAAATACAGATAATTCATTCAAGCGAATCAGTTGACAAAATCTAAATTTTTATTGAAATGAATGTTGAATGTCTCAGGAATTTAACATTTGAATTGAACCTTAAGTAGCAAATGACAGTTATATTTAAATCGATAGTGAGGTTTATGGCATTGTTTTCTTTTTTCTTCGAATAATATAAAATATTATTCTGCTATTTGGAGTATAGACCATACCAATAAGAATAGCAACCATTTTGTTTATGAGTCGGTACTCGAGTTGTGGTGTAACTAACATGATTTAGTTTTATAGACATTTTTGTATTGAGGCAGATTCTGAATCAAATTGAATTTCCATGGGAAAATTGTTTAAGTGAATTAAATTAAAAGATATTTGATTGTAAATATCAAAGATGCTTGCTTTGTGCATAGTTTTAGACATACATAACTTTACGCCTGTCTCCCATGGGGTAAGCTAACTAAGGACTAAGGACTATGGGATGAGAGTAGATGGTGATAGATAGAGAGGTAGATGAGACTATGAAATGCCAATTGCTATGATTCGAACTGATTATAATTAAAATAATGTTATTGTTGTAATTAAATGAAAAAAAGAGTAATCAATATAAATCGTATGTGCACGAAAAATTTTTTTGGAGAGGCTTCTTTCTACAATAGACAGACGGCTTTCATTCGGCTTATAATGCATTCCGTAATAATAATTATGTTGTTTGACGCTAAAAATCGTCGCAATATACAATCTCGTACAAAATTCATAGAAAACTGTCGTTTTGACAGTTCAATTCCAAATAAAAGAAGTTATCACTTAAATCAAAATTAAAAACAAAATAAAATTAATATATTTACACACATACATGTCCATCATGCCATGCTCTCGGCTGCCTCCCATGGGTATAGGCAAAGACTATGGAATGCACATTGCTACGTAAAACTTATGTCATTGTATTCGTAATTAATCGTCGATAAGTCGTAAATAATTATATTAATCATCTGTATTTCCCGTGGTAATAATTAAAAAAATATGTAACCAGTAAAGAAAGAAAGAAAACGTATTTATTCGGCATATTACACGCCCAGAGATGTAGACAAAAAAGTAATATAAAAACAATCCCTGTAACACAATGAGTTTACCGACTTGTCGCACTATATCATGATGTCTGCAGGGAGATACCTGAACGAAACACTAGAGTTGATTTGGTCACCGACAATCATTGGACACCCAAATAGACACCTCTCCATACAACTATAGAAGTACATTTTGTTATTTCTAAGACATAATCTTACGACCATGATATCTTTGACATAGGTCTCTTAACCCTGCAGTTGATCCTTCAAGGATTTTTCAAAAGAATTCCAAATGACCTTGCTATGAAGCACATCAAGCTACTGGAACTTTAAACGCCAGTCAGCTGGTCAAGGTGAACTAATGTTTCCGGCAATTGCGTTACAGTTATTGACCCATCTGCTTTTTGCGCGCATCACGAATTGGAAATTAAAAACCACATGTACATTAGGCAAGGCACATTTATTTTTATTGGGTCCCACAAATATTCACTTGAAGGACTTAAAGTATGGAGAAATCGATTGGTATTTTATGAATTTATTGGTTACAAGGCGCAGTTCAAATTAAAAAATATAACATAACATCACGCCTTTTATCAGGTGGCAGATGTGCACATTATGCCACTGTACAATGTAACAACTACTTTTCACTATTTATGTTATGAGTCCCATGTGATAGGGGGTGAGCCAATTTCCATATACCGGGCACAATTCCAAACTCCGTGCTCCTACTGTTAAATAAAAAAAAATGATTAATTAATGATGTATTGTCAAAAGTCCACTACAAGCAAATGGATTTTTTTTTTAATATTTGTTGGGGCGACGTTTGACCACTATCTCACCTGATGGTAAGCGATGATGCGGTCTACGATGGAGCACGTCGTCCCATAAGCAACCTATTCAAACGGGCCTTGAGGACTCCCTTCAAGAAATACAAACTCTGAAAGGATTAAAGGTCTTAAATAGACATTTGTTTAATAAATAATGCAATAGAGTTGTTGGAATTGTAGTCTAAGTTTTGACCACAGCACCTGATGGATAAAGGTGTTTAAATCTATATTAAATATGACCCGTGTTACGTAAAAGATACAATCACCTATGAACCTGCTCTAAAGTGCGTACAATCTAAGTGTAATCTAATAGCCTACCACAAAGCAACAGATCATATAATACGGATGAAAAATATGCCTGCAATTACATAAAAAAAATACGTATCATATAATTTGCATAAGCATAAGTACCACTTTATAATCCCACCTTCCTAATGCTAAAACTTTCTTACAGTGTGACCACACCTAAGGTCAGCCACAACTAAACAAGTTCATCCTCGAGCATCGCATGTTCATTAAGAAACATTGGCCGCTACTTACGATGTAATTGATCGATTCGCACCTCACTATAAATACTGTGATAACGATACTGGGTTATCAGTTGCACTCACAGCTTCTGGGTAGCAAGTTCTGTACAACACAAGAACACAAAATGAAACTGGTGAGGTCCTGTGTATAGCAATTAATTACGTTTTAATTGAGAATACTTTCATAACTTGGGTATATTTTTTCAGTTCATCGTTTTAGCCGCTGTTGCTTTGGCTCAGGCCGCCAAACTGGACAGGACCTACCTCCCACCTAACGCTCAAGCTTCTTCAGGATCTGCCTTCCTGGATGCTCCCCGCCAGTCCAACGGATTCCAGAGCCAAACTGGTGCCTTCTCATCCAGCGCCCAAAGCGGCGCTTACTCAGGCTTCGAAGCCCGTCCCGTGGAGCGCGCTCAGGCTGCCTTCGAGAGGAATGCTGCTATCCTTCGTCAGGACAACTCCAATGATGGAGAGACTTACGCGTATGCTTATGAGACTGAGAACGGCATCTCCGGCGAAGAGAACGGAGTGGCGACCAACGGAGTGCAGGCTCAGGGCAGCTACTCCTACACTGGGGATGATGGCAAGGTCTACTCTGTGAGGTAAACATTAGACATTGCTTCTACAATATTGAACTTCGTATAATTTCGTTTTTGTGGTAAGATTAACATCTATTATTACTTCTACAGGTACACCGCTGATGAGAACGGTTTCCAACCCCAAGGTGACCATCTTCCCACTCCTCACCCCATCCCTGAAGAGATCCTGAAGGCTCTGGAGCAGAACGCTCGCGATGAGGCAGCTGGCATCTTCGATGACGGTGAGCTATTGCTACCAATAAATTACCACCTTCTATAATTTTATATCATGGAATAATTACTGATTGCAATACTATTTTTCTATTTGCAGGATCGTACAGCGAGGCTAAATACGATAGCAACTCCCAGCAAACTTACTACGACAGCAACGCTCAAGCGATAAACTTCAACAAGGCTGACGCTGTTGTTACCAACTCCGCTGGTCTTCGCAATGATGCTCATTTCGTTCAACGCAACAACCAGAGGGGTGGAGTGCAACAAATCGCCTTCAACAGCAACTCTCGTGCTGCCCAAAGTTCCAGCTCTGCTGCTGGAGTCCAGAAAACGTATCTCCCGCCTTTCGCGCAGAAGGCTGGATCGAGACAATCCTCCTTCGACGCTAGAGCCGGCTACCGATACTAGAGACTGATGTAAATTTTTGTACATATCGGATTGTTATTCAATAAAATATTTATTTGAACACAATTTCTGTCGATTATTTAATAAATTCCTGGGCTTCATTTGGAGTATTAACATGACTGCCAAGTTCTAGAAAGACGTACTATGATATCAAGTATAGAATAAATTATTTATTAATCATATAGATTCAATGACAATGGTGTTTAAAATATACGAAATTTAAAAAAAATTGAATAATATGAAGTTAGCATGTCATTGAAATAAAAGAAAGAATAAGTTCCATAAACAAAACGTGATATGAAACTCTGAACAGTTTAATATTTTACCTACTCAGAGTACCTACCTACCACCCTACAAATGCCATTAACTGATAATCGAAAAAGTGGATAGGTAAGCCTATGACCCTAAGTTGCAGGCCACATTCCCGCTAGTCGCACCAACATACCAGCTTCCGATCAACCCGCGTGATTGTTTTTCCCGCTCATCGCAGGCGCAAGACGCGTTGCGCCAGCGTCTCCATCGATTAAAGCACAATCACTAACGTTTGATAAATTTTAAGTTAAACTTGTGTCAAATCAATACAATTATTCTTCTATTCATTTATTTAACTGGATGCTGATAAGGCGATAAGACCAATCTATGAATCCATTTATTTCTGTTAATTTTGGTTGTTCTGTTCAGTTATCAGAGGACCAACTGTGTAGTGATGGGAGTAAATATTTATGCCCACCTGTTCCCGCGGGTGTACCAAGGAGCTACTTATGGAACAACATCAATAGTTATGTAGAAGATGCCCATAACACTTGACTGGAATGGTGACAAACAAATTACAATAACAGAGTTTTAATTATTAAGATGTTTCTTTTTTATCTCCCAATAGATAAGAGTAATTTTAGTTTACGTGTAAGTCTTTTGCAGCAGAAAATACAACAACCAAATGATTTCAGTAACAGTTTCTATCCTAAACCTACTCAAATTTACATTTATATACATGACCTACATTATATTACTAAAAAAAACTATTAATTTTTTTTTTAGTAATATAATTTTTTTTAAATTAAGTGGTAATTTTTTTTTTTAGTAATATATTTTATTTTTGATTAAGTTATTTTTATTTATTTATTTATTTATTTAACACTTTATGTACAACTGTATACAATGGCGGACTTAATGCCGAATGGCATTCTCTACCAGCCAACCATAAGGTGATGCAGAGAAGTGTTACAGTAGGCTTTAAAAGAAGTTTGCATCTATCGAAAAAAAATAAAAACGAGGGTGATAAATGTACGTACATATGTATAAAGGTATCCTAGTACATAAACTACATACCAATACTACATACTAATATGAAACATAAATATAATATGTAAATATATAATATAAAATATAATATAATATAAAAATAAATATATAATGGGTTTATATATTTTATATAATTATATATATAAAGTTTCTGAGGAGGGTGTTAATTGAGACTTGATTGTGTCAGTTTGTTCCGAAGATATTCATTGACTTTAAATTTAAAGGATAGCCGACTGGAGGCCGTCCTGATATCCGTGGGCAGCGCATTCCACAGTAAGACTGACTGAATGAAAAATGACGAGTGGAGAAAGTCGGTTCGGTGTGTGGGACCTTGGAGGAGGAGATTGTTTGTGGAACGGAGATACTTATTGTGGTTGGTGCTCACATATTGAAAGTAGGAGGCTAAATAACTTGGAGAAGTGGGGGAATTAAGCAGGGAGTATAAAGTGGTTAGTGCCCGTTGTTCCCTGCGTTGACGTATGGGCAACCACTTTAGTTGCAATCGGTATGCAGAAACATGGTCGTATTTACGCAGGTTGAAGATGAATCGAATACAGTTATTCAGAAGGCGGTCCAGTTTATTGATGAGATCTGCATTCAGGTCGTAGTAGCAAACATCAGCATAGTCAATGATATAGTCCAGGTTTCCTCACGATGTTTTTCCTTCACCGTTTGTCAGTGGTGTCTAAATAATCTTAGAAAGTACATATAACTCGGAAAAAGTCACATTGGTACTTGCCGTTGGTAGGTTTCGAACCCGCACCCTCATGCATGAGAAGTGGGCGTCTTAAACCTCCGGGCCACCACGACATGGACACACGACCACAATAAATAATTAGTTGACAACAAGTCCCCCACAAGACAAATACTGCATGTACTTTCTTTGCATCACGCACTATAAATTAGCTAATCCTCTGTAGAACCACAGTAAAAATATATCACAGTGTAAACAAAATATACTTTACATTCAGGGATGTTTCAGATGTTAGTAGTAGAAGCAATTTAATGTATCTAGCCTGCCTGTCATGTAAGCAAAGACTGCAATATAGACCAAACAGCATTTTTACGCGCCTTAATACTACATTCACACAAGTATTCATTTACACTACCGCAAACACTCGGTAAATGCTTTAACTATTTGTTAAATGTAATGTAAGTAATTGAGAATAAGTGTACCGCTTCGATGCTCTGACAATCCTGTTTTAATTGATATTTTCATATTCTCTATAATGGAGACTGAATATGAGTAAAACAGAAGGCTCACGCTTATAACATGTGGCGCTTCTATCGAGTAATAAACAGTATATCACTCGTAGGAATTCTTTTCTACCAGAGACATTTGCTACGTTGTACTATGGATTCGTTTGAAATGAAATGAAATAAAATAAATATTCATTGGCGCACACTGCACTGTCACTAGTGAATCTACTAAGATTATAATAATATGTTTTTTTTTTACGAAAGAATGCCTTCTATGGATTTTCACCGGTATGGATGGACGCAGTGAGTGCTACTTCCTTCACTGCACCGCCCTCACTGCTTCCCTACTATCAATCGGTCGTATGAATGGAATGCAAGTCCATAGCTTATTATACGCTATTGACTATTTTAGGTCAAGCTGCGTATTTTCTTCGCGCAGTAATGTAACGCCGCGCCGTGGTGGTCCAGGTTCATACCATATTTTACTTGAATCATTCCACAGTGTCAGTGAAAATTGTTTTATTTTTTTTATTTATTTATTACCACATGATCATAATTTTGTTACATCGTTTCACAGCATAGCTTCTACATAGCACACCCACATAGTACATTTATTTATTTAAATTACAATACTTTAATATTACAGTAATTTAACCAAGGCGTTGTACATTTCAAATGATTATTAAGAAACGAAGGAAAAGTCCTTAAATGACAAATTGTAAAAATGGAAGAGAAATACATAAAAATAATAAATAGGAATAAGGAAAACCTTACAAACTATGACACGTTTTGACAGCCAAATAACCGAAATACACAACAGACATTATAACAACACAATATAAATTATATTACCGGTGGAAAAACAGTCTATATTATTTTCTAATTTCTTCGAAGCATGACTGTAGTATATCAGATTTCAGGTCCATTTAGTTGATTCATTAGCCCTGTGTTATACAAAAAACATCATAGTATAGTTAGATATTTATTATACTACTTGATTATCAAGTACTTTATATTAAAACAAATTAGCATCTAATACCAATGTCATACCTAGAATAAGTAAGCTCCAATTTATAAATTCCACCTTCCTTTAAAACTTTCTTATAGTGTGACCACACCTAAGGTCAGCCACAACTAAACAAGTTCATCCTCGAGCATCGCATGCTCATTAAGAAACATTGGCCGCTACTTACGATGTAATTGATCGATTCGCACCTCACTATAAATACTGTGATAACGATACTGGGTTATCAGTTGCACTCACAGCTTCTAGGTAGCAAGTTCTGTACAACACAAGAACACAAAATGAAACTGGTGAGGATTATTTGGAGTAATTAATTTTTTATCAAAAGTAATTATTGACGATCTTGCATCATTACATAACTTGGGTGTTTTTTTTTTCAGTTCATTGTCTTAGCCGCTGTTGCTTTGGCCCAGGCCGCCAAACTGGACAGGACCTACCTCCCACCTAACGCTCAGTCTTCTTCAGGATCTGCTTTCCTGGATGCTCCCCGCCAGTCCAACGGATTCCAGGGCCAAACTGGTGCCTTCTCATCCAGCGCCCGAAGCGGTGCTTACTCAGGCTTTGAAGCCCGTCCGGTGGAGCGCGCTCAGGCTGCCTTTGAGAGGAACGCTGCCATCCTTCGTCAGGACAACTCCAATGATGGAGAGACTTACGCGTATGCTTATGAGACTGAGAATGGTATCTCCGGCGAGGAGAACGGAGTGGCGACCAACGGAATGCAGGCTCAGGGCAGCTACTCCTACACTGGGGATGATGGCAAGGTCTACTCTGTGAGGTAAACATTACAAATTGACTATTCATCTTCATATCATACTATTGTGACGCTGATAACACAAACGTCTTTTGGTCACTTCTACAGGTACACCGCTGATGAGAACGGTTTCCAACCCCAAGGTGACCATCTTCCCACTCCTCACCCCATCCCTGAAGAGATCTTGAAGGCTCTGGAGCAGAATGCTCGCGATGAAGCCGCTGGCATCTTCGATGACGGTGAGAAAATTATTATCATCTCTACAGCTTATAATCTTACAAATACGTATTTCAATAACACTATCTCTATAAACCACTAGAACTCTAAGACATTATAACATGACTGTTATAGTGACCTAAGTAAGATGACCTTTAACACACGTTTTTCGTTCATATTTTCAGGATCTTACAGCGATGCCAAATACGACACCAACGCTCGTAATGGTTACCAAAGCTCCAGTTCTGCTGCTGGAGTCCAGAAATCGTACCTCCCCCCCTTCGCGCAGAAGGCTGGAGCGAGACAGTCCTCCTTCGACGCTAGAGCCGGCTACCGATACTAGAGACTGATGTAAATTGTTGTACATATCGGATTGTTATTCAATAAAGTATTTATTTGAACTAAATATCTTCGTTGTGATTGAGTATTGAAAACTTGCACCTCATTTTTATGTAATAGTGGTCAATCTGAATGTTAAGTTCGAGGTTCGAGAAATATGATTATACAATTTTATAGTCTACTAGCTGACCCGGCAAACGTGGTTTTGCCATATAAAAAATTTCCTAGTAAATAAAAAAATTAGGGGTGGACTACCTACCCCTAACATTTAGGGGGATTAAAAATAGGGGTTGGCCAATTCTCATAGATACCGGATAAGCACAAAAAATTTCATCAAAATCGGTCAAGCCGTTTCGGAGGAGTATGGCAACGAAAACTGTGACACGAGAATTTTATATATTAGATTCTTGTGCTTCGTGTAATGTTTTAAGTTCAGTTTATGGCTAAACGAAATTTAATCCATGCAAAAATACCGAGCTACATTTACTTTCTGCATCCAGCAAAGCCACCTCCATCTCCAATTCCTAATTCATCGGTCTTGTCATCATTATCATCAGCCTGATTCCGTCCACTACTTTAAATAGACCTCTCCAGGCACGCTACCGCTAGCTCAACCAGCCCTTTGCATACACATACACATACAATATTTATCTATTCCAAAAGAAAAGTATGTTGGTATTGTTGGTCGACCCTGACATCAAGCTAGGGATCCGAGCTCATCAGTCACGCTTACAACCACTTCACTAATGAGGTCTACGCTCACGATCTTAGAAAATGCTCAGCACTGATTGGGACCACCGACGAGGCGGTTGAAACTTAGTTGCAGAAACAATAATAATGAGATTCAATTCGAGGGGTAACAGGCTATTTGGTTTAAGCGACATTTTGGGCGATATTGAGTTATATATATATTCGGAATCAGCGAATTTTTCTCCGTCGATTGATGCCGGTTTCATTAAAATCGGAGCACTTTTTTGGCGTTTCAAACAATTCTATTTTCGTGTTGTTTCCAAAGTGACGGTGTATTAAACGACATGGATTTCGCATTTTTTATTAAATTATGTACTTGAACCATACCATCATATTAATAACCGAGACATAAACCAGTCACCCTATCTCTAATTAATAAGTCAAAATGAGTTAAAGCGTTTTTCCTGTTTCTAATTTTTACTAGCAAGTAACTTGAATCATTTTGACTTCCCACTAATCACACGGTGTGTTGTCGCTTAAAACATTTATCCGTCACCCAAATACGACATGGTTCGTCTCTTAAACACTTCTAGCTGCTTTTATTTTCCACGCAGGGTGCTACTTAAACCAAATAGTCGTTTTCGTTCAGATATTTTGTTTAGTCATAAATCATTTAGCCCTCCTTTTTTTTAAAATGCATGTCGTTTTATACAGATGATAACATTAATAATGGATATTGAAACATTTTGCCAGTATTCATAAAAATATGAATCGGTCTTTAAATCACTAAATTTTAATATGGTACATTTCAATCATGTCATATGATACTATATTTATTTCATCGCCCGGGTGTTAAAAATCGTGATCATCCAACTGGACTATCGTGCGCTGGCGCTTCAGTCACTCCAGAATGCGTCGAAGACAGACGGGACGCGCACTCACCGCCAGTGTTTACGTAAAACGCTCATCGAAATTGAATCCTAAGTACTTTAATTTCAAGATCAACCTCGCGGTCGTCCGAAGACTTTGGTGACAATAGGCTATTGTGGAAGCTGATGACATACAATCTACGGCTGATTTAGCAACAGCTTTCGACGTTAGCATCAAAACAATATTGGTCCATTTACGTCAAATTGGCAAGGTAAAAAAACTTGACAAGTGGGTGTCCCACAAACTCAATGATCGCCAGAGCTAAGTATGCATCGAGCAGTGCCTTGCACTGCTCAACATAGTTGTAGTAGTAGTTAGTTCAGCACCTAAACAATACCCGAAACGAAAACTTACTCCTAGAAAAGTGATGGTCACTGATGGTCTAGCGCCAGTCTGATTCATCACAGGTTCTTACCAAACGGAGTGAGCATTACTGCGGATGTGTAATGTGAAGAACTGAACACAATGATGGAGAAGCTGACACATCTCCAACCAGCACTGGTCAATCGCTCATCTCCATTGCTCCTGCATTACAACGCGCGACCTAAAGCTGCACAACAGATGGTCTCCAAGTTACAAGAACTGGGGTTGGTGGAAGCTCTCCAATATCCACCCTACTCACCACACTACTTCTTTTCCAGAATTTGAATAACTTCTTCGCGGGAAAAAAATTCGTTACCCGAGAGGCAGTACACAATGCATTTAAAGAATTTGTTGCCACCCGTCCAGCTGATTTGTTTAAGAAGTATTTTGTGGCAGTTTATTGATGCCCAATAAACTCCCACTGCGTTGGCAACGATGAATTGATTACATGGGTGTTTACTTCGATAAATACAAATAAAAATACATGAAAAAAATCGTTTAAATTTTTTCATACAAAACGGCAATTTCAGTAAATAACCCATTAATTAATCTGATGTTGCTGAATAAATAATAATATAATCGTTGTTCCTATGGAGACTGTAATTATTAATCTAAATAAATACTTTGATATTGTGTTGTGTTTATTTATCCGATGTAAGCACCTGAGATTTTCGGTTGTTTCGATATATCCAGGTTGTTTTATCAGCCATTAATCGTCATAGATGTAAACAAACATAAACATTTAACGATACAATTTCAATGTTATATGTCACATAAGTAAATTAGCCTGTTACTCATTTTAGTCTAAATTGGTAGTTGAGATAAATAGCTTGCTTCTATTTATTTTGGGTTTCGTTACTTCATACTTTTTGGCTTACTCTGTAAATAGAGTGCATCGTCGCTTAATTTTTTTCCCTTGTAGCCAATTGTAGTTATGAAGTCACTTAAATCATTTTTCCTGACTCTAAAAAAGGGCAGATTGTATTAAGCGACATTTATCTTTGTAATTAAAGGTCCGCTTTATTTGGAATTAGCATCAGCAACTAGATATTTTTATTTAAATTTCAATGCAATTTACCCCGTTCAAATATCTGCAGAAGCGTTTTTGTTATGAATTTTTTTTCGAAATTTCAAACTTTAAAAGGCTCTCCTGTAAAGTTGCAAAAATGTCGCTTAAACCAAATAGCCCGTTACCCCTCGATATACCAACGATGCATTGATTACATGGGTGATTACTTCGATAAATACAAATAAAAAATACATGAAAAAAATCGTTTAAATTTTTTCATACAAAACGGCAATTTCAGTAAATAACCCATTAATTTATCTGATTTTGCTGAATAAATAATAATATAATCGTTGTTCCTATGCAGACTGTTATTATTAATCTAAATAAATACTTTGATATTGTGTTGTGTTTATTTATCCGATGTAAGCACCTGAGATTTTCGGTTGTTTCGATATATCCAGGTTGTTTTATCAGCCATTAATCGTCTTAGATGTAAATAAACATAAACATTTAACGATACAATTTCAATGTTATATGTCACATAAGTAAATTAGCCTGTTACTCATTTTAGTCTAAATTGGTAGTTGAGATAAATAGCTTGCTTCTATTTATTTTGGGTTTCGTTACTTCATACTTTTTGGCTTACTCTGTAAATAGATGAAGTCACTTAAATCATTTTTCCTGACTCTAAAAAAGGGCAGATTGTATTAAGCGACATTTATCTTTGTAATTAAAGGTCCGCTTTATTTGGAATTAGCATTAGCAACTAGATGTTTTTATTTAAATTTCAATGCAATTTACCCCGTTCAAATATCTGCAGAAGCGTTTTTGTTATGAATTTTTTTTCGAAATTTCAAACTTTAAAAGGCTCTCCTGTAAAGTTGCAAAAATGTCGCTTAAACCAAATAGCCCGTTACCCCTCGAATTGGTTTCAAACTTCCCTGTTATAATGACCTATTTAACCTAGTAGCCCGTGTTACTTAACAATTCCTCCTCTTATATGTAATCCATTATAAGAGGATCAGATATAATTTGAATAGTATGGACAAGAAGCGCAACGATAATGTGTAAATAGAGAAGTCAAAAAAAATTTAATAAGAAAACTTGTAATCGTAATAACTATGCTAACGAAGTAATGACATACACAAATTTGGTGAGTTAAACTGTCAAACACCAAGCGGTCACCGGTGAGCGCAACCTATTGTTCTATAATTGTGTCTATAATGACGGTACTCGACGAGTTTAGTATATTTAGACGCTTTCACGTGTAATTGTGCATGTATCCACCTACTCTTCAATCACCCTGCTACACTTTGATCTATGTCGTAAGCAGACAAGTAAGTGGCAGTCTTGTTTTATAAAACTTGCATAAGCAACTGATAAAGACAGATCTAGTAAGCTACTCATCACTTGCGTAATGTTCGAACTTAAACTTCAATTTAATATTTAAAAAAACGTAACCTGAATTGCTACACGAACCGTGCTTATCTCAATTTCGCTGAGATAAAAACTCCGTGCAATATTTCTTGTAGGTAACATCTAGTGTTTAAATTATTAAAATAAATTACCAAAGTCATCATTACCATCTAATCAGCCGGTTACAATCTAATCAGCCGGTTACAATCATGATGGATGATCTTAAAGATGTTCTTGTTTCTAAGTAGACATCTAAAACAATAAAAGTAAATATGCTCATTTTTGCGAAAGGGATCTTTTGTTACTTACGTTTTTCGTATGAAATAAGCATATATATTCTTCTTATACATGTGGTTTATATTTTTAAATAATTGTAACACTAAAGTGTGGACAATTGTTGGTGAACCAATAAAATATATACCTCTATAAAAAAAATGTATTTTTTTCACCTAATAATGGTTTCGAGTAGACACCTCTTGCCACTAACAAGCACTAAAATCAAATTAACTATTCGTAATGAAAGTTAAAAGTTAAGCAAAGACCCTTTTTTTAAAACAACATAGTTACGTTCATACAGATTAACAAAGAGCCAGGATTTGAGTGAAAATCCTGAAA